GGAGTATCAGCGTAGACTACATGAGTTCCTAGTCCTGGGGGTTGAATTTACAACCTTCTGACTCAGAGGCTAGAGTGCTACTAACTAAGTCAGGCTGACACTTGTGTTGTAGCACTAAATTGTTTCCTTGCACCCAATACATACATGTATAGAGAAATCAGAATGTTTCTACTCACTGTGCCAGGGAATTAATTCTCAACTAAAAATTGAGTCACAACCTTGGTTAGCCCACTGTAATTTTTCAGATACAATACACATCACAGTGCACAATGCATGCAAACCTAACACTTTTTCCAATGCAAAATGCTAGGTTATTGCAACAAAAATAAAACCTTTCATCTTTAACCTTTCTAGGAATAGCTTCCACCATAAATATTACCCTGTAAGGAACAATGGCTAACAATCTCCTTAAACAAGGACAGAACAAAATATTATGCAGGCAACAGATTACTTCAAATAGTTTTATGAACCATAGTAAGAAGTTTAATAGGCAAGCCAATAAAAGAATAAAAAATGTCGCATATTTATTAAAATAATTTAATTTATAAATGTTTTTGTGACCAGGTGTTGAGCCAAAAAATGCAATGTTTCTTTTTATAAAAAGAAACATTTTCACAGAGGGGGAGGGGGTGTGGATGGGTGGAGCGAGAGAGAAAAAAATCGAATTAAACCAAGAAATAGTAACAAAAAGGTTTAACTTCTGAAAAGCCCTTGTGCTTCCTTTAGAGATCAGTGACCTAATCATGCACATCGCTCTGCAGATTGAGTTGATTTAAGTCATGTGGTGAAATGCTAGAATTTCCAGTGTAGAATAGAGCAGGAGCAGAAGCTGTCCTATGACTTCTTGAGGAAAGCTGCTGACAGCCGTGGAAGATCAAAGGCAGATCAGGTTGCTGTACAAACGATATGTCACTTGCCTCAAAGAAGGGCAAGATAGGGCTCCCAAAAAGCTGTGAAATAGTAAAGGTGCGGCTTTGTCGGAGCACACGCCAATGGGTTCAACAATGAATTGCGTTTGTTTACTATTACAGTCTGGGAAATTCTCTATTCTCTTTCCCAAGCGAAAACTTAGTGGGTATGTGTTACTGAAAGACATAGCGCAGTGTACATGTAACCTACAATTCACGGCAAGTAATTAAAAGGAACCCCTTCTTGAAACATAAATGAGACACATCTAATCTTTGTACCACTTCAAATAGTTCCACAAACGTTAATCTGACAAGAGTGTATTGCTTGAGGTTTAACTGTCCTCAACAACCTACCGTAATTAGAATTGATTATCGAAGAGAAAATAAGGTTTGACGAATTCTATCACTAATTATGGTGGAGTATTTTCCCGTACTCGGAGATTTGATGTTTACCAGAAAGGCTCTCATCTGTATAAGCAAAAATAAATGCACTCATTATCATTATTATTTTTAAAATTAAGGTTTTTTTNAGAAAAATGTTGCTTCAAAAGAACATCATTACTCTACCTCAGTCATGTTAAAATTCTTTCCAAAATACAAATGGGGGCTAAGCCCTGCTCTTCAATCTCCCTTAATTACACTACATTCCCACTCCTACACATTCTAAATTGTAACTTCGCTTACAAAGATAACAGCTGAGTAAATATGAAAGGCATTTACCTTAGTACGTTTAGTAACCTCACTGTAGTGTACAAGAAACTACCAACATCTCCTCATTTCCGGCTCCAATCTCCTTATTCTCCCTCACGTCTCTCTCCAACTCACCGAAGCAATGCAAAACCCTGCAATTCAGTTCCATCCTCAGCTCTTCTTCCTTCCTCACATTCAGTCCCCGACCAAAACTGCTTCCCTTCATATTTACATTGCCTGCCACCTTTCTCATCTCACGCAAATGCTGCTGAATTCCTCATTCATATCTGTGTTGCCTCCTGACTCATCAGCTACAACCCACTCTTTGAGGTCTCCCAAGTTCCTGTTGATTCAAATCCACCAGTCACAAACTTTGCAAGTCGATCATCCTAGTCCTTACCAAGATCAGTTTCCCAGTGGATCAATTTCAAGGTCCTCACCCTCAGTTATAAATCTTTTCACACCCTAATATACCTATGCTCCCACCTCCCTCGTCCATTGCTCCTTTGTTTCACTGTTTTTGCTGACATTATAACCTGGATTGACATAAACTATTCCTTGTTCCCCAGGAGCTGTCCAGTGGGAAGCACTCTGAACATAACACACTCTCAACAACATAAAGCACAAAACCAAAAGGAAGGATTAACATATTATATAGATACCCTAGATATATGACGGGCACACATTAGAAACTAATGACAGATATTGCATGATGTTTGATGATCCTCAACCACCTGCAGTAATTAGTACTGATGATCAGAGAGGAAAGAATATTTCCAAAAACTACCACTGATTATATTGAAGCATATTTATTTAATGAAGGAAGCTATAATGGATTTCCCTGTACTACTAACATGCATTAAGAGCTTAAACAAAATACATATTTCACCCATAAAATACACTTTATAATATTTTCTGTGAAGCGTGCTTAGACGACTCAATGATGTCACAAGGTGCTAAATCAAATGCAAGGATTATTAGCACTATTATAAACTGAAAAAAATGCATTCTTCATAATTTAGAAATGTGTGCAATTAAAAACAAAACATTTTTGGTCTACAGGTTTAACCACTTGAATAAGTTATACATTTTGTGTTCAATATGTGTGGACCTTCAACTTGTTCAATGTTCCCTGAGCTCCACTAGGTAAGGTACTGACTGAGCAATTGGGAAAGTTTTAAATTTCAATCCCGGTGGTTCCACTCAGACTTTACACCTTCCAGATCAACACAATTAATTATATTTAAATATTCTGGGGAGGGTACAGAAAGATTAGGAGCAGTTAAGTGGAATCTTCCCAATTTACTAAAGTGAGCAGATTGTGAATTATCACAATTTATACAGAACACTAAACACCCTTGTCTGGACCATCATTGAGATTTGGAGTTGTAAGCAGGTCTTGAATTGTGTCAGCCATAACACAAAAACACACAAAGGTGCAAGCTACAAAGAAAGAAATGTTCCAGCACTAGTGAGCCATGTTAGTTACCTTTACATTACCTCTTTAATCAATCATATCTAGTATTGGATAAATTTAAAAAGGTTGCATATTGCTCAAAATAAGTAGTTATTAACATGACTAAGGCAGCTTTAGCCAAACAATACAGTGTTTACTTCTCTTAGATGTGGCTGCTGATGCTACATGTAAAAATCCAGTTAAATTTATACGCACTACTCGTATTAACCACCGTGTAATTCTTAATGCCGCTACCACAAGTACTAGATCCAAACGTTAGTTCAACAGCATCAACAATTTGCATTTATATAGCGCCCATTCACATGGAGTAGCATCCCGGAGTGCTTTCCTGTGCCTGCCTCAAATGGAACACCACACATGCACAACCTAATGCTCTTTGCACCCTCCCTCCAGCGGGCATAGCATCAGCATCATTGCTTACTGCAGTGGGGAGGAGTGGGGTGGGTTGGGAGAGGAAACAGAAAAAGGTCGGGCCACCTGCTTCCTTTATCCCTGGCAAACCGTCCCCTCAGGCAGGGGTCAGTGATTGGGAGGGAGAGAGAGAATGATTGAGAGAGAGAGAGAGCAGAGAGAGAGCACACAGAGAAAGAGACACTGAGAAAGAGAGAGAGCACAGAGAGAATGAGAGGGAGAGCATAGAGAGAGAGAGAGAGAGAGAGAGAAGGAAAGAGAGAGGTGGGGGGAAGTGAACGCAGCATCCAGTCCTCAGCAGCCAAAAGGTTGCCCACCCTATTCATCCATGTGAAACAAACTTTGTAAGAGTTTATATTCTAATAAAACAGTTCTCTTTTGAAACCTGTTTGGTTGTGCCATTCATTGTACAGTACAAGTTTTCTGCACATGAGGTATGGTACTATGCAATAGTGCATATGGAAAGAATGCGCTACCATAGCTTTAATATGCATGGGTTAAACATGATACAGAAACCTTACCTTAATGTCCCAGCAGCAAGCACAATACTTATAATCAATCCTTGCAATTGATATAGCCCCTTTCATGTCTTTGAGGCGTCTCAAAGTGCTTCACAGAATATACTGTAAAGTGAATTGACTACATTTGTGAGCGAAATGTGGCAGCCAATTGATCACAGCAGTGTCCCACAAACAGTCGTGGATTGAAGTGACCAATTTTATTATTTTTTTACTTGGGTATTTGTTATGTGTTAGTCATATAATATCCAACACACATTACTTTACATAACTCGCAAATGATACAATTATGCAAGTTTTCCACAACTCATACTTTGCATAAGTCATATTATATGTTATGGGCCTAACTGATACCACCTATGTGAGTTTTACTGTGCATGGCAATACGATGCAATACACATTCTGATACAAATCCTGGGGGATGAACAATGTCACCAGAATTCCTTGTGAGCTTTAGCAGAGGCTGAAATGCTGTGTGATTTTGACCTGCTTTGAAAAACAGGCTCATTTTAGATATCGATGTTGATCTATATTGATGTGAAAAGTGCCAGTTGACGTGAAAAATAAATATTCTAAATGGTTGTTTAATGGGGTTGTATCCATTTCAGGTTGTTAGACAAATCACTACTATTAAAAGTAACAGCTGATAGTTATTGCCATAAAAAAGTCCATAGACTTTAATCTATAAAGGCTCTCTATGCTCATTTATGTACATCTTTTGTGAGCCGTTTGGCACAGTTTACTATTGATGACAGCATGTCGTGCAGATGCATTATTCTCATTTCATGTCTAGATCTTAACAAAACTGCTGGCATATTGTGCCTTGGGGTATACAAAGTCTCTTCAGTGGCAGACTAATTGTGATTGGGAGATTTGTAGACAATGTGAAGTTCCAGCTCCAAGCTGATCTTTCAACAGCTCCCTTCAGTGCAATAAAATGGTTAAAAAATCCATATGTGGCTCACTGATTGAGTTGGAGAAGCTGTGTTTGTTTACCTTTCAAGTCTTTCTTCAATTTTCGGAGGTCTTTCTGAAAATCATCAAACTTCATCTGAGATGCTTGAAATAGGTCTTGTGGCTCCGGCAAAGGGAAGATGCTTTGATCTGTGCCAGCATCCTGGGAAAGAAAACAATTTTGATTTATGAACGACAAATGTGTATTCTGTGCATTATTCTATTACATTTGTAAATATTTTAACTTAAAGGGGGAAAAAAACTATTGCAATAGTTCAAATAAAATTGCTTTATATTTAAATCAATTGTAAGTGAAAAATATAAAAAAATAACCTTACCTTGTCAAAGTTACGCAGATAATAGGAAACCAGGTAGAACAGAAGATTAATACTGTTGTCCTGGAAGAAGAAAAAGGAAAGTTTGTTCTTGTTTTATGAGAAACCCATGAAAAAAAAATGTGGGCAACAAGAGTGTGAATAAACTATATTAATATCTTCAACCAGCGAGTATTAATAGCATCTGATTGAGTTAATGCAGATTCATTTACTGCTCAGTGGAGCTAGCTGTCTTTCTACAGTGTGCTACAGTTGTGACAAGTAAGTCAGCCTGGCTTAATGGGTAGCACTCTTGCCTCTGAGTCAGAATGCTATAGGTTCAAGCCCCACGTTAGAACTTTGAATGCACAGATTCAAGGCTTACACTCAATATGCAGTGGTTTAGGCTGTGCTACATTGTTGGAGGTGCCCTCCTTCAGATAAGCCATCAAATTGAGTTCTTATCTGCAGGTGTTCAAGTGGATATCAAAGATCCCAAAGCACTATTTGAAAAGAATCCCACAAATAAAACTGGCCATTTATTTTATGGATGTTTGTGGAACATTGTAATGTGCAAATTGGCTGTTACATTTACCTACAAAAATAAAGCTCTTTGAGACATCTTCCTGACTTGAAAGGCACTATAGCAAATGTAAAGATTATTATTATAACTGCACCCTGTTATAGCTCTGACTGTAATTATGTTCCCCAGCATTAGTTATTGGCAATAAGAGTTCCTTAGTTAATCAAAGTTGGGAATAATCTCCATTCCCAACTCAGACTCCACCACTGTTAAGTGCTCTGGGACGCTATCCCACGTGAAGGGCCCTATATATATATATATATATATATATGCAAGTTGTTGTTGAGTTATAATCTTCATTTCTTACATTAAGCATGTACACCATGACCATAATGTAGCTACATCACTCATCACATCATTATAGTCACCTCTGCATACAATTACTATCCATAGTTTTACAGTATGAAATTGTCAAATCAAAGCTGCGATTTGAAATGCAAACTATTAACACCTATGCAATTACATGGAAGTCTTAAGTAAACACTTCCTGTGAACTGGTCAATACCAATAATTTGCTATTCTACTTTTAGATAACCTGGGGTGTAATTTGTGGCATTTCTTAATGGGATTCCTTAACAAAAACACACAGTCACTACACATGACAGTAAATCTTGTGAAGAACTTTAAGATGTCCTCCAGGCATGAAAATGCTCCACCAAATGCAAGGATTTATTTATTATTATTACTAAGGAATCAGAATTGTGTAAATGGGATTTCCTTCCATAAGAAATACACAATATCAACCTGCAGGAACCATGTTCCGAGATGCTATCCTGCATGAACAGAGCAAATTAAGAAAGTTTGTAGAGAAATACCACACATCAGTCCTCATCATAACTCTTTTGTTACAGAACCTGGTAAGATAAGGTACATGGAATTGAACTGGCTCCAAGGTGACATATTTGGCAATGGAATGTCAGAATCCAGCTTACTCTCTCTGTGGTGTTCTTTGTAGTTCAGTTATTGAGCTAGGCAGGTCTGCAATACTCCAGTGCAATGCTATTGACAGCACAGCCAGCTGGCTCATCAGCAGGTCTTCGAAGGGCAGACCCGTCACTGGGAACAAGGAGTCCTGCCACTCAGCTCCTGTTAACCCTGGAAGCCAAACCCCTAATGGGTTGGATGGTCCTAGCCGGGAAAGCAGTGGGAAAGCTTGCCAGGCAGTGCTATCAATGACAAGCTATGAGGTTAGACTCCAGGGTATCCCAATGTACGCTTTGGGATCCTCAAACCATGGCTTTTGCCAATCTGCATCTAATACTTTCTGGAATCAGGTAAGCAGGATATGTACCTCCAGGTGCTCATTTCATTCCAATAAACATCTTTAGAATTTCCATGTGTAGGTGGGAAGCATTGAAATGTTTGAGCATGGTGATGAGTTTCTGCATGTGTGAGACACCTAGCTAACCCAAAAAAAGGAAAAAAATCTACACGGGAAAAGTACTTTGAATATTAAGTACCTCTTCCAGAATGATAGACAGCATATCTCAGACAATATCCTGCAAAGGCAAAGCCAAAAGGAAATATTAAAGTTTTGTGAGAAACTGAAGAATGCAGTCTACAGACTGGTTCTGTACATCAGTAAAACTGCTTCAGGAGTTTGTTCTGAACATTATACGATGAAAGCAGCATTGGGACCTGCTGAATGACATTTATTGATTACATTTGGACCTCGGTTAAGTGAATACTTGGTGACTCCATAGCAACAAGCAGATTTCCAACTGCATCCTTTATGCTGTATTTATTGGCACCAGTGCCATGCTAAGATTTGTTGAGCCAAAGTGCAGCACAAGAATGCCAGCCCAATCTTTAAGTATTGATTCAAGCAAGACCACTTGCATTGGTTTTGCTTTGCACTGCTTGCGGTTTCTTTACAAATAAATCAGAGCACAAGAGACACTCTGTTCCATTGATTTGAAAAAAGACCTTTTCTTATTAGCTTTTGCTCAGATAAAAATTCATCACTAGATTACACCCAAAAGGTATGTTACAGTTTTGTGCATTGACAGGGTTTGGTTTTCTTCCCCTCGATACCACTACTCTCCTCCCTTCAAAAAATATAACAGGCATATGTTAACACATCCTACTTGCACTGTTAAATGTTATACTGGTTTTTACATTGGGTCATCACTAATGGGCACCAGATTCTGTTCTGTAGGTTGAGATAGAATTAATCCAGGTAAAGAGAATCAATGTTGAAACATGTCTACTTTGCTTAAACCTCCACAGGAGCAAACTTAGAGCTTGTGTCAGCCTGGTTCAGCAACATTCACACCACATACATGCTGGGGAATAACTATCACCAACAAGAGAGAAAGCAGCCACCTCCCCCTGACTTTAATGGCACAAGCATCACCGAGTCTCAAACTATCAATATCTCGGGGATCACCAGAAGCTTAAATAGGCCAGTCACACCAATATTGTGAGTTCAAGTGCAGGGCAGAGGCTTTGCACTCTACTCATAACTCCTAAAGCCTTTCCACCATTTACAAGGTTGAAGTCAGGAGTATGATTGAATACAAAACCCTTCACCATGGGTGCAGCTATATTAATACTCGAGACACTAAAGCAATCCAGGAGAAAACAGTTTGCTTGATTAGCATACCAAAACTCAAGTCAAGATTCACTCACTCTTACACTGATGCATTGTGGCTGCAATGTTGCGCTATCTACAAAATTCACTGGAATAACTCAACAACTTTGCTTCAACAGTCCAGCAACATCTATGATCCAGGATAGGAACAAGAATCATGGAAACACCACCTTCAGGTTTCCCTCTAAGTCACTCACCACTCTGACTGGGGCATATATCACTGGGTCATAGACATAGTCACTGGGTCCAAACCCTAGAAATCCCTACTATTGTGAGAGCATAATGGACACAAGGACTACTGTGGTTCAAAGAAAAGATTCACCACCACCTTCCCAGGGTAATAAGAGGATGGCAATAAATGCTCTGCCATATCAGTGTCACCTACTTCCTGAGATTAGTTAAAGATTCAGAGTATTCCACATCAAAAATTAACTAGGTTGCCATGAAAATGTATATCAGTCTTCAATGTTTTAATTGCTTCATTGCATCTAGAACCAGCATTGGCAAATTCTAAGTTTCAGCAAGCTGACTCATTATATGTGCGCTACTTGCAAGATGTCATACCCACAAGGTGCAAAATTTAACTCTGCTAACTTTGGAGCCAGAAGAGATTTGGGCCACCATGCATACTGTAATTCCAAAGCTACCACCACAAAAAAATGGCACCATTCAACGCAACTGCTACATAATACCATGAGATACGCAATTGTTCGCATTACTGTACTTGACCATTCCCTTACTTATAAATCTGTTTAAGCTACACCAAGAAACCATCTGGAGTTCATTTTGGGTAGTTAAAGGTCAATCTCTGCAAGATTTCCTGAGTCATCGATAATGACCCCATGCCCCAATAACTTTGTTGCAATGCTAATTTTCATACAATCATGCCAATTGTTTTTACTATTATTCACAACAATAACAGACAACTGGAAATTTTCAAATACCATGGGGATTCTGTTTAAGATTTGTCATATAGTTTGGAATCTTGTGTCTTCCGTTTTACACCACTGCACAAAACATGTATTTATTCTTTCCAAGCATATATAGGGCAGTGACAAATGGAATTCCACCAAGTCTGTTCTGGGACTCGGAAGGTTTGATCTATTCAGAAATTACTTGATAGGAAAGGAATTCATCCTTGTAATGTTAGACCATTTGCTGTTAATACCAAGCTAGGTGTGTGTCAATAATTGGAAGATAAATAGCAGATAACAAAATATACAGATGGATCAAGGATTGGAAGATAGATTTTGATGCAGTCAAATCCAATACTATACATATTTATATAGTATCTTTTACTTTGGGAGGATGTTTCAAAGTGATTCACAGGATTTATTCTGAAGTGTATCAACTGTGTATTTTGTAGGCGGACATTTGTTTGGTGAAGAATGTGATGCGAACAACTTGAATGGGACAATTGGTCTTTTCCCCCATTCTTATCCAAAGGTTCAAGATCAGACAAAGTTGAACCAAACACAAATTACAAGACAATGAAGAATATTAATACAAGCAGAGGCAGTTTGGTTTGGAGATAGGCAATCACAATATGTGTTGGGCATTATGTACTTACACTGCTCTTCACGTCTCTAAGCTTTGGAAGGATCTCTAAACCAAAGCCATCAGCCTGGCCTCGACTTCTGTTCCCACCATTCATGTAGTTTCCGAAAGCAAGAATCAAACTCAGCACCTGTTTCACACCTGCACTTGTTTTAAAAATCTGGGAAAGAAAGAAAGAAAGAAAGAAAGTTTCATTTTATCCATTTAGGCTTAACATGTCAAAATCAAATCACAAAAGATTGGCAATCAAAAATAGGACATTTTGCTCATTACTTAATAGCTACAATATTTTCGATAAATTTTAAAATGCTGATTAGTTATAGTGCAACAGACCATTTTAGTCCAATGTTGGAATTTGAAGTAACACCTTTTTGCAGTCTTTTTAGGCCATCTATTTACAGTTATTTATTTGAAAATCTCATTTTCAACTTATCTGCAGATTATGCATCACCTCAAAACATGTAAATATTCAGCAACATTTATTAATCAATAGTCCAGTAAACTGCCCCTGATAAAAAGTGGTCTCTGCTATGTAGTTGCTGAATCATAATTGAATATCAAAGATGTGGTTATGATAATGTCCATTTCACAACCTCCTACAGCAAAGCTATCAACATCACCGACTGACAGAAAATGATCGAGGTATTGATATATTTATCTATCTGTGTAAATACAGAACCATACATACATTCACATGGCTACGAAAGTTCCTGGTGAGGAAACTACTTCACTGAGTTTATTTAAGTTAAAACATTCTTGTTTAAAAAGATCTGTGAATTTGAAGAACGTGTTTTTCTCAGTGAAACTGCCTTTTGGGTCCTTCCCAGTAAACTTGTTCCATCCAAGATCTCCCAACACCCTCCTTCCTTACTTCCTGTACCACTCCTTGGCTCCTTTCCCCTCCCCTCTCAGCTCCCTCTTTCTTCCCTTTCGTGCCCCTTCCGCAGGCTTCCTCCTTCCCCCCTTTCCAACCTTACTCGCTTTGAACCTGTTCCATCCTGTCAATTACATCCCTCTGATTACAGAATCCCAAAATGCATAGCAAAACTACACTGCAGTGGTGATACAAGTTGAACTTTAAACAGCAAGCTTATAATGAGGAAAGACTATAAAGATTTAATAAAATGTTGGAAATGACAAATGCCATCATCTGAAGATCTGATGCATCATAAAACTACTGTATATAGAATCTCAGATGTTTCACGAGACAATACAGTTCATTGTGCCAACTCCTTGATTCTTCTCCAATGGAACCATAGGTTCTCAACTAATTTCCCTATTTTCCTTGAAGAATGAGACCTGTTATACTTTAATTCTTTACATGTCTAATTCCTTTTAAATGTCGTGACTTCAATAAATGGTTGTGGTAATGGGTTCCACATGACAATATCCCTTTGTGCAAAAAAATGATTCTTCCTTTCCCCTTTACTCTTCTACGAATAATGTTGAATGTTTAACAATAGTGCTCCTAATAATAATGTTCTGTGTTACCTCCCAATCTCACAATTTAATATTTCTAGCTAGCTGTTTGTCTGTTATTTTTTCCTTCCAATTTGCCTACAAGAATTCCTCTCGACACTGAAAGTTACTCTTCCTAGTCCAATCCTTTCTTTTTGACTTTTTTCTGTACCTATTTTGACCATGAATAATGTTCTGATCAGCATTTCCCAAATGCTCTTCCAACACTGCGTTCACTTTCTTGCCATAGTTCTTAACCAACACTACATTCAGTGCTGTGTTACATTCAGTGCTGTGCTACATTCAGTGCTCTGTTATTTTTTCCTTCCAATTTGCCTACAAGAATTCCTCTCGACACTGAAAGTTACTCTTCCTAGTCCAATCCTTTCTTTTTGACTTTTTTCTGTACCTATTTTGACCATGAATAATGTTCTGATCAGCATTTCCCAAATGCTCTTCCAACACTGCGTTCACTTTCTTGCCCCAGTTCTTAACCAACACTACATTCAGTGCTGTGTTAACAGTATAGATTTAAAAAGCAGGCTGGAAAGCACTCCAGGAAACCCCAGCACAATATGTACCAAGGTTATTTCCAACCCAGTGTATTTTAGGGTAGTTCTGATACCCCTGAGCTTTGTTCTTGCAACTCATACCTTCTCAAGATCACAAGAGATCAGAAGTAGGAATGTGCAACATCTTTGAGATGGTCACAACCTAACTGACAGTTTCATGTTGCTAGTCACATACCGAACTCAGTGCTAATCACATATTTAACACAACAGAGATACAGGGGCAGTTTTAAAATCAAATACTGACTAATTAAAAAAAGCTTTGGCAATATCTAAATCATAACCCTTGCATTTGAAATAGCACCTTATCACCTCTTCGAGATGTCTAAGAATATATTGCAAAGTGAATTGACTGTATATTTTGTGGGCGAACCACAGCAGTCAATTGTGCACAGCAGTGTACCATAAACAGTCATGGATTGAGTGACCATATTATTATTATTTTTTAAGCGATTATTCTAACTATTTGAAAAATGAACAACTGTGAGATAACAAAAGACTTCAAAGACTATTCAGCATTGAATTTTAATCCGTATATTTGGAGAACAATCTATAATAAGTCTCAGTTGTGATTATAAATGGGCATTCAGTCACAAGAGAAATAAAGCAAAGTATCTACTAATAACTTTAATCCAAATATGCTTCAGGAGTACACTGGAAAGGTATGAAAAGATGTTTCCCATTAGTAAATAGAAAATAAAAATTGCACATATGCAGGCCTGCTTTCTTTCATGCAGTATAATATAAAATAATCAGTATAAAGTCCACTGTAGACTGTAGTGCATTACTGTAAATGGTAATGCAAAACGCTCCATTGTCAGTGGGAGCAGTAACATCGACATATTAGCTGAGGACCTCTAATGGAAGAGGACAGGTACTTCAACAGATGAGAATGTGGAGTTTCAACAAAAGCTTATTAATTTCAAATAGTCACGGGGAGTCACATTGAAACAATATGTGGACCAGTTTGCTCAAACAATAATAATTCTTCAAATTAAATCTGTGTACACTGTAGTTTAACAATAACCTGATTGTGCCTACACTGAAAGATTAAGTGTTGGCACAGAGAAGCCGATTGCTCAACTGATGGCTCAATTGGTAAACTTACTCAGAATCAGACAAAATGCAAAGTAAGCAGAGTTTAATATGTATTAGTGGAGGGCTCCACTGATGCTTAGGTCTCAGTGAACGAACCTGGGTAGGAGAGGAAATATTTGCTGGAAAGCATGTTCATGTAAGACAGCAATTGAGCCAGGCTACAGTCAAATAGCCTGTCAATACTTGTCTAAACTTGCATGATACATAGAAGATGAGAACTTGTTCAAGACTCAGTAAGGCAGCAGTGTTACCAGACCCTCACACCCAACCCCCACATAATCTTTCCAGAAGACCCACTCTGCCACCCTCCCCATAGCATCAAATTAATCCAATGTCCTGGTTTCAGCCCCGCTCCTTGGAAACCTGTTTCAGTCTTTCATTGCCTTCCTGTCTTGCATCTGTCTTGAAATTGCCCTTTCTAACTCTGAATCTATGTAGCCTTGTTCTACTGCTTTGGTGCATCATAAAATATTGGTCGAGGTTTACTTTATCAATACCATATATATATCTGTATATCGACATTATTTACAAGGTACATAATATTTGAAATTGGGAAAAAAACTTAAGCTATTCAACTTTGCTAATTTTATCGAACTGGAGTTGTTATACATAATGGATTGACCAAATACAGTGAAGAGTCCTGGAGAGATTAATAAGCCAGTCATTGACCAACTGACAAGGAAATAACTTTTTACTCAGTTGGACTGAAAGGTTAAAAGCAAGGGTTAAACCGCTGTTTAAGGAAACTGTTTTAGCTTTATTGCCAGAGTAGATATTATGCTCTGTGGTATTCTGCCTATAGATGAATCTCAATGTTATCTGTTATTTGTAAAATAAAATTAGTCATAATTATACTGTAGTCTAAAAACTGGTCATGTGTCTTGTCGTATGCCTTTCTAATAATCCAGTAGCAAGTCACGTAGATCCAGGAACAAATGACTACAAAGGAGATAATTGTCAACCGTCAGGTCACATAGATTTGCAAAGGGCAGGTTAGCATAGAACAGAATTAGTGGAATTTAAAAAAAAGACTGCTTCCAGAAAGTGCTGAGTAAAAGGACACTCCATAAAGATCCTCAAACTGTAATAACATCCTTCATTATCTTTTGCTATTGGCCTGTAAAGTTCACTGAAATTGAGCACCAATGTTTATCAAGACCTGCTAAGCTGTAATGGGTTTAATACATGACATTCACTTCCAATTTGCTCAATTGGTTTGCCTCCAGCTTGGCCTCTTTTTAAGCATAAGTTTAGATGAAAACAAATTCTAGGGAGAAAAGTATTAAATAGTTGTGGGTTTGTTTTTCTTTCCTCCTTCTATATCCCCTCCCACCGGGTGATAAGGCAAGAATTTAAAGGGAAAGGAATGATGTGTGTTAGGGGAGACACACTATATATAATAGCCTCAATACACACTGTAAAAGTAAAAAAATACATCAGGAGCCAAAATGAAGCAGTCTGAGAAACAGACACTCAATAAAAGTGAGATGTATATCCTGCTTTTCATTTGTTTAGCGAGACATACCTTGCACAACTTTTCCAATATTTCAAGCTTGCGGTGAATAGCAGCAATATTTTCCAAGAATGTGGATTGAAAAAGGATGCAAAACACCCTCTCCGAAAAATTCATAATTTGAGCTAGCTCATAGAGGAACCTGATGAGGGAAAGAATGCCAGTCACTGCACATTTCGAAACTTGTATGCCAAACATGTAAGCTCCCGGCAAATGCAAGTAATTAAAGAAGCAAGTATATATGGCACCAATGGTTGAGGGACAAGAAACCAAAGAGTAAACCTACTGCTCAGGCTTGTCCAAGGGCTTAGCATTCTCCTTGTCTTTGGCTGACTTTTGGATCTGCTTTTCAATTTTCTCCAGCTCCTCTGGCTGTGCTCTCTGTTTCAAGAAAGAACACATGCTTTTAAAATTGGAGAGATATTGGCAAACATATTTTTAAATCGGGTGAAAATCTACAAATGTAAGTGGACTATTTCATGGCAATAAAGTAGGAAGCCAATCCTGTCCTCACACAATAGACTTCTAATATAATAATAATAATCCTTGCATTTGATATAGCGCTTTTCACGTCTTCTAGACATCTCAAAGCACTAGACAGAATATACTGTAAAGTGAATTAACTGTACATTTGTGGGCGAAATACGGCAGCCAAACTGCGCACAGCAGTGTCCCACAAACAGTTGTGGATTGGAGTGACCAATTTATTATTGTTTTTTTTCTTGAGGGATTATTATCAGGTGTGTGGGGTAAGGAAACTTGACCAAGGTTTCGCCCTGCCGGGAATCGAACCCAGGTCTCTCGCTTGAGAGACGAGTGCTCTAACCACTGAGCTACAGGACTCCACTGATGGTGGGTGGGGGGGGTGGGGGGGTCAAAGAGGATGATAACTAGTTCATGATGAGGGCAGAAATCAACCCAAACTTCTCTTTCTCGGCTTTAGAAAATGATCATTGCACCCCTGTTGGCCTCCATAATTGATTCAAGGAGAACAAGATATTGAACCTGAACCTTTCTGGTCTGTAAGGTTCAGTATCACATCACATGGCATACTTAATCATTAACAAACAACAACAACTTGCATTTATACAGCTCCCTTCATGCGGAGTAGCATCCCGGAGCCAGTGAACTTCACAAAATAATGCAACTCCACTGAGCTCAGAGGGAAAATAGAAACAAAAGACCTGCATTTGATATGAACATACCAAGACTAGGCTCATCAAAGTAAACAAGTTCCAAATTGCGACAAAAACTTATTTACTTCACCATTTAATTAGAAAAATCCAAGAGCTCTATCAAAGGACACATCTAGGTCCAAGCACTTAACATTCAGAGTTCTGATACCGAGTTATCTCATTCTTAATTCACACAATCCCAAAAATAAATGTAATCCAGCTAAACAAAAAGGGTATTCAGAGTGCACATTATGCAGTGCTCGTGATCAATTTGCAGGTTACATGGTTTTATAATTGAAAACAGTGCCATTGCAATAGCACATTCCAGGAAAGTATGATACAGAGATTATTCATCAATAAAATAACAATGCCAGTAAAACAGGAAACCTAGCATTTTACAAACACAATGCCTCCACAAGAGCCCAGTGTTAATGTCAAATGATTTTTAAATATTTTCAATATGTATTTTAGAGAACATATAAAGCTTATTAGAATAGGAATACAAATACGCAAATATACAATAAATTTTCAACAAAGTAATTTTGCAACCATTTGAGATATGCACATAATATAATGCATGTAATAGGCACCCCTTAATGGTTGAAAAAAGTCATTGGTATTGTTTGATGTATGTAAGAAGGTTAATTTATATAGTGTCTTTGCCATAGGATATCATCTGAGCACTTCACAAAGATGGGGTCAGACTCTGAACAAGGAAAGGGAAGGCAACCGTACACTGTCAAAGAGGTAGTTTTTTAGGCTGATTTGAAGACAGATGGGAGTGGGGGGGGGGGGGGGGTTACTGTGGGTAGAGGGTGAGAATGGAGTAAGAGAGAGGGAGATCCAGAGGCTAGGGGCATAGTTGCTGAAAACTTGGCCTCCGATGGGAGTGCAAAGGGAACGGGGAATGTGCAGCAGACCCAAGGGGCTAAGTAGTAAAGTGGGGTAGGTGAATATCAGAGATAGAGAGGTGATAGGCTATCAACTAATCTATAGGTGATGACCTTGAAGTCAACAAATTTGAGGAAGTGAATTTCATTCAATAAGGGATGAAACATCTGGGGAGATGGGAAAATAGAGTAGGAATATTAATATTACATGTTTTACAAGGTTTGAACATCTCTAATTAATGGTGGTTAATCAAACAGGTTTGTCTCAAAACTATACCGAAGCAGAATTATTGTTATTGAACATCTTGGGGAGCATCAATCCTATTCTCCCTCCTTCATTTCCTACCCCATCACAGAGTGCAAGTTAAAAAGTTACTACATGTAGTGTAGAATTAAATCTGGACTGAGATAAATCATGTGTACAGGAATAATTCCCTGATAGTTAAAGGTAGAATTCAACAAATCTTTCAAATCCATCTGAATATTATCTCTATTGTTACCAAAATGGAAAGTTAATTGACGAATTTAAGAGTTTTGCTAGAAAAATAATTCTTGCATTTCACATTTCATTAAATAAATAAACCCTTGCGCCTCAAATCACGTCACAGGATATGCTATAAAGTAGATTGACTGTGTATTTTGTGGGCGAAGTGCAGCAGCCAGTTTGCGCACAGCAGTGTTCCATAAACAGCGAGGGACTGAGGTAATTGAAAACATCCAATGAAAACGTTCACATAGACCAGAGTGACAGTCTTTCAAAGCATCCATCCACTTGTGCATTATTTTATTGACAGATGCAATCCATGAAGATGTAAGAAACTATAGTATTGTCTGAAAAGCAGAATCACAGCTTGTTCGGAGTGGTCAATGGAAAGCAGCCTATATAGTTATATATTGTGGTGAGAGAAGCACTACTCACTGTAACATTCAAACAAGTTATAGCTCTGTCGAGATCCTCTTCAATAGTATGTTCAAGCCAAAAAGAGTGATCTTTTGGGAGATTTGTTGTTTTAACATGCACTGCTCTGCATTGAAGAGTATTTCTACAGGACACAGTCTTTATAGCGCTGATTATCTATGGTATTTTATTTGAACCAGATTTGCAAATTTACAGTGGTCCCAGATCAATTATTTTCAGCTGTCCCAATTTCATCCTTCATCACCCATTTTCTCTCAAGACTTGGCTTACCACAAAGTGTTGGGTTTTATTCAGCTCTTAAATGTTGCATTTGACCACTATTTTTCTCAAACTAACTTTCTCTATGCGCAATGAGTCAGTGACTTTCTGTTCACAATTCTCCTTGGACAACTGCATATTTTCTTGCCTTTACAGCCCCGTAGATGAGAAGAATTGATGCATGTATCATACCAATGTTAGTTGGTAACACAACTGCACATTAAAACAGGTTTCTTTGAAAGTACAGTAAAATACGAGCTGAACAGGTTTAAAAATAATATGTCTAGGGCAACTATTAAGATTCGTGGTGTCCAGTTTGCCATTAAAGCTTTCCTGTAATCTGTAGATATGTCCAAGGCATTTTCAATAATGACCAAGCCTGTTTGACATTGCCAGCAATCTGTGAGAATGGTCTCAAAATTAAACACTGTTAATAATGCTGGTGCCTGGGCTTTGGTAATTAACATTCTCCAGTGATTCAGACATTTCTTTATGGCTTGGGCAGCACAGAGTTGCTAATCTTTTTCTCTGGCTCCTTTTGTTTGAGATAGCCACTTCCAGAATCAGAAATTCTTTACAAATTCACCAATCCAGACATCTTCTGTTTTTACTTCCAATTTCTCTCCACCCTGGCAATCCATACTGAGACACAGACATAATCCTAACACTCAGTCTTGGTTAAGATGGTTCACATTTATGAGCTGAGATAAAAAACGTTTGCTATGCAAAGCCAAATCACAGCAGGGTGGGTATTCTTGAAGAACAAGATCAAATAGGCTGAAAGGCTATTTTCATCTGAATTCATTCTGTGATCAGTTCAAAATGCATGTAAAAAGCTCATCAGCATCAGCCACAGCCAAAATAGAAGATGATCAAGGTTGGCCTCTGCAAAATTTGCTCCATTAAAGAGGTGTCTAATAACTACCCTATGCAACTTTTCCTCCTTGAGGGAAGAGCCTTATCTTCACTCAATACTTTTCTCCTGACAATGTGCTAAACAGGAGGTTAGATTTATCAGATGCATCTTCCTGCACACACAATGTTAAATCTGAGATCCCATCTGCTGGTATTCATTTGGACACAATGGTCTAATGACAACATTCAAAAAGAGAAGGGAGTTTCCTGCGGTGTACTGGACAACAAATCATTCATATGCTTATGAGATTTAGTGGCACAAACCCCTACTGTCAACAAACTAGTCACTACACCCAAGTCAGGACTTTGAGATCCTGGTTAATTTTGGTATTTTTGGTTGATACTCTAGTGCAGTACTGAGGGAGCAATGCATTGTTGAAGATGCCGTCCTTCAGGTGAGACATGAAATGGAGTTACCGTTTGCCTGTTCAAGTGGACACTAAAAGATCCTCTGACACTGTTTGAAAGCCCTTGCTCACAGTCACCTTGATAAAATTGGTCATTCATTATGTGGCTTTTTTTGGGGCAATGGTGTGTACAAATTGGCTGCTACATTTCCTTATAGAATATTGATCCTGCAATAAACTACACATTTTACATTAAAAGCTGTGAAGTGCTTTGAGATGTTGCGTTTGATATAGTGCATAACTATTATTTAATACAATAAGGTACTATAAAAATGCAAGTTCATTCTTTCTGAATCCTTCAGAGACAGGAGTCTAAGATCCATGCATCAAAGTTATTGGGTTACATGATAAAACAGTTAATTAACGTCTAGTAGACCACACTTGGACTACTGTATACAGTTCTGGTCCCCATATTATAAAAAGGATATAGAGGCACTGGAGAAGGTGCAAAGGAAATTTACAAAGATGATACTGGAACTGCAAAGTTATACCTATCAGAAAAGGCTTATCAAGCTTGGACTCTTTTCTCTTGAAAACAGAAGGATGAGGGGTGACCTATAAGAAGTCTTTAAAATTATGAAAGGTTTTGATAGGGTAGACATAGAGAAGATGTTTCCACTTGTGGGGGAGAACAAAATCAAGGGCCATAAATATAAAATAGTCACCAATAAATCAAATAGGGAAGTCAGAAGAAACTTATTTGCCCAGATTGGTAGGAATGTGGAATTTGCTACCACAAGGAACAATTGAGGCAAATACCAGATAGGTATATGAGGGAGAAAGGAATAGAAGATTATTCTGATAGGCTTAGTTGAGG